GAGTTCCCCCGCGCTTCTGAGGCTTTGCTCTGGCAAAGCCTCAGAAGCGCGGGAACCCGCCCGGTGCCCCTGCTCTGCTGGAGACGGTCTCCAGCAGACCAGGGGCACCGGAGCAGCTTACGAACGGGGCTTTCTCGCCCCGGAGCTCGCAGGTAGCAATCCGCCACCTCGACCTCCGGGGCGAGAAAGCCCCGTTCGTAAGTGCGGATCCGACATAAGTCGGATCCGCGTAAGTCGGGGACTGCCTGTATTCTGAGCTGCAGACCATAGTACAGCCCATAGTACAGCCCTGAGCCTGAGAGGCTGCTGCATCTCAGACTGGCTTTGTGGATTCTCTAAGTTAACTTGGGGACCACTCCATTCTCTAAAGCTGCCTAGGACTGAAAGGGCACAATGCTGCCTCCTCATCCTATTTGGAATGAGGGTTCTATAAAGGCACATTTTAGAATTTGGCATTATGATAAAGAGTTTAAAATTGTAGATGCCAGGGTCCCACTTGCTCCTGTTGGAGGTGCAGCCAGGGCTGATGTCTTGGGCTGCTGTCCCACCTGCCTCTGGACAGATGGAGTCGGGGTCCTGCCTGCCCTTTTTGGGGGGGGCATGGCCAGGAGCTGGGACTGCTTTCCCATCTGCCTCTGCTGGGGACATAGTGGCATGGCTGGGGCTGAGGTTTTACCTGCTCCCTCTCAACGCTCCTGCAGCTACTGCCGGGTTCCTATCTGACCCTGCCCAGGGCCACTACAGCATGGCCATGGCTGGGGTCCTGCCAGCCCATCAGGCAGCCCCACCAGCTGGCCTGACATGATGCTGGCAATCCAGTTAATCTGTTACCCAGTAAGCATTCTGGTAAACCTAATGTTACCAGGTAACCTTTTACATCACTATTGCTGATGACCGTTTTTTCCCTATGCCACATTTTCGGGGAGACTTGAACAAACAAATATGATTTGCTTATCATGTTTCTTGGAAGATTATTACAGCCTGTTCAAAATCACATTTATTCACTTTTTTATAAGTTGCCCTTTTTCTTTCCTGTTTGCCATTTTCTGATCATATAGGGTGTGTCTAGACTATATGGCTCCATCGACAGAGTCCTATAGATGAGTTTACTCGGCAAAGGGAAATGAAGCGGTGATTTAAATAATCGCCGCTTCATGTACATCAAAATGGCCGCTGTGCTGTGCTGATCAGCTGTTTGTCAGCATGGCGTGGCAGTCTAGACGAGGATCTGCCGACCCCAGAACTCTTCGTTGGCAGATCCTTTATGAATCTTTTTTTGAGGTATTTTGATTCTGTTCCATAAATGTTGCTTTGAGCAACTCTCCCTATTCTGTCCTTAAGCTTTAGGAAGATAGATTATCAGAAGGGCTAAAAATGTGGACTTAATTAGTGAGATAGAAGCACAAATAATAATTCCATACTGCAGGAATTCTGCTGCATAAGCAAGAAGACTTTGCCATCTCTGCACTATAATCACTGTAACTATTCTGTCATGAAGAAAATGTATTAGAAATGAAGGAACACTCAAAATGCTTAAATTTTTGGGCCTCAGCCCTGTGCATAGCAATTCTCACTTTTTCAATTTTAATTTTTGTTAATAGATGGCTGGATAAATAAATAATTTACTCCAGAAATGTTTCTGTAGCTGTGTAAAAGAAACCATTTTTTGGATTGATTATCTGGTTATTTAAAGCATTCCCTCTTCATATGTAATGTAACAAACTGAGTATTTAGAGCCAAATTTTCAGCTGGTGTGAATTGGAGTAGCTCTGGTAGCTATACCATTTTACATGTGCTGAGAATTGGGCCCAGGATCTTTGTAACCTTTATTTTCAATCATACTTAGCAGAATACCCAGAAATTCTGAAATGTAAAGACCAACTATACACATTTGGTTGCTAAACTGCCCTTCCCCGCTTCTCTCTTTGAAATCTGGGAATACTTCAAAGAAAGTTGTCATTGCATTATTTTATACTAAGAAATTATTGTAAAAAGTTTGAAAAAATGAATACGTGCCTAACCATTTCTTAATAAAAATTGTATTCACATTTTGATGCCTATCATTTCTTCAGAGCACCACTTCTGTTGTTCTGATAGCTTTGTAATATCTTGCCGGCAAAAATAAGTTAAAAATACCTCTCCATGGGCCTGATCCTGCTCCCATTGAAGCCAATGGAAAAATCGTTCGATATGGCTTTTGGGTTTTGTTCTTACACTATACAAGTCAATGGAAGCAGGATTAAGCCTCTGTCTCTCTTATTGCATGATATCTTGGGACATGTCCTGGAAATGCTGGGATATATGGAGCACTGGCATTCAGAACAAACTTGCATTGGATTTCATTGAGGGTTTCATGTGTTCAATTGAAGTGCTTCTGTATTCAAAGCCAAACCTTTCTGTGTAAGTTATCTAAAATACATTTGTTTATGACAGGATGAATTCTTACATCAATTTCAGCTTGCCCACCAACCATGGATATTGCCAAGTGACACAGAGAGTGAAAGCGTGGAAGTAGATCAAGATAAATGTGAGTATATTTGTTGGGAATTGATGGTATATCAGAGAATATATGTAAAAAAATTCTTTCCCCCTTTCTTTTCATGGGACCAAATCCTGCATTTCTTGTTCACAGAGTAATCTCCTGGGGCTGTTCACATAATTATTGCTCACATGAGTTAGGGTTACGGGATTGAACATATAGGACTTCTTTATATAAATATTCCTACATCAAGATATTGCAAGTTCTTGAGTATCCATTATAATAGAAGCTGGGAATGGGTAGCAGGGGATGGATCACTTGATTGTCTGTTCTGTTCATTCCCTCTGGGGCAACTGGCACAGGCCATTGTCAGTAGACAGGATACTAGGCTCAGTGGACCTTTGGTCGGACCCAGTATGGCCGTTCTTATTGCCCCTTTGGTGACTGCTGGTCCAATCATTACAGTAAAGGCCAATATAATTTTGACCTAAATGAGAGATCAGTAAAAACAAGTAATACATATTATGAATCTTCATACTTTGAAGCTTTAATCAATTATGTCTTGTAATGCAACACCTAGGGTGTGTCTAGATTACACCTCTCTGCGGACAGAGACATGTAGATTAGGCACATCGAAATTGCTAATTAAGCGGGGATTTAAATATCCCACACTTCATTAGCATAAAAATGGCTGCTGCTTTTTTCAGCACGGAGCTTTGTCGGAGAAAAGCGGCAGTCTAGAGGCTGATCTTTCAAATAATAAAGCCTTTTTCAAAAGATCCCTTATCCTTCGTGAAATAAGGTTTACAGGATCTTTCGAAAAAGGCTTTATTTCTTGAAAGATCAGTGTCTAGACTGCTGCTTTTCTCTGACAAAGCTCCGTGCTGAAAAAAAAGCGGTGGCCATTTTTATGCTAATGAAGCATGAGATATTTAAATCCCCACTTCATTAGCAATTTCAATGTGCCTAATCTACATCTCTCTGTCGGCAGAGAGGTGTAGTCTAGACACACGCCTATCAATATTCTCATTGGAAATATTAAATATTCTGCAAATTGAATTTATTTTAAGCACTGAAGCTTGTGATCTGTCAGGGTGAAAATGTATGCTATTTCCTAACCTATTTTTGGTTTTATGGTTATAAAAAAATCCAGGCTGTTTAATCAGGTGCTTAGAGTGCTTTGTACATGGAACTCGAACTGCTTGAACAAGCAGCATTACAGTAAGAAATGCCAGGTTCCTGCAGGCACAGTTGCTGGAGAGTGATGTATAATTAATGAAAATCGTGTTTGATAAACAGAATACATTTTTCAAAATGCTGTCACTTGAAAAACTGAAGAATTACATCTGCTCACGCTGATACTTCAAGTTCACAATTAGCCTGTGGTTTGACTTTCATGTTACAATTTACACACTAAAATTCCCAAAGTAAATAAAAAATATTCACCCCTTTGTTTTCATTGTTACGCTTTTAGCTATTTTATCTTTAGGCCCAATCCAGAAACCTTTCAGAAATGTGAAATTCTCATGTATGCAATAACTGTTCTGGGTGTGAAAAGCCCTGAGTTAAGGTCCAGATTGTCACCACTAAAGCTACGTTTACACAGCAGCTAGCTAGGAGGATGCTTCTCAGATCAGGTAGACAGAAATGCATGAATTGTGCTTGATCTAGCGATCTGAAAGGAGGAGCGTGGCCTCAATAGCATGGGCAGAGGTTTGGGCTAGCATCCTCAGTACAATCCAACTCAGTTCCCTGGATATATACTCAGGCAGCTAGCCTAAGCTGCCACCTGTGCCATTCCAACCTGCAACTTTTAGCACACTAGCTCGCCCAGAGCTGGCACTTACCTGTTCGCCTGTTCTCGGAATCACCTGGCCAGCTGCTGTGTAAATATACCCTGAGTGTATTTGCCCTCTGTGCAAGAATTAATTTCACTTTGGGTTCACAAGGAATCATAGAATCTTAGGGCTGGAAGAGATCTCAGGAGGCCATTGAGTCCAATCCCCTGTCCAAAGCAGGACCAACCCAACTAAATCATCCCAGCCAGGGCTTCGTCAAGCCGGGACTTAAACACCTCTAGAGATGGTGACTCTACCACCTCCCTAGGTAACCCATTCCAGTGCTTCACCACCCTCCTAGTGAAATAGTTTTTCCTAATATCTAACGTAATTTCCCCCACTGCAACTTGAAACCATTGCTCCTTGTTCTGCCATCCATCGCTACTGAGAATAGCCTCTCTCCATCCCCTTTGGAACCTCCCTTAAGGTAGTTGAAGGCTGCTATCAAATCCCCCCTCACTCTTCTCTTCTGTAGACTAAACAGGCCCAAATTCCTCAGCCTCTCCTCGCAGGTCATGTGCTCCAGCCCCTTAATGTTTGTTGCCTTTCACTGGACTTTCTCCAGTGCATCCACATCCTTTCTGTAGTGGGAGGCCCAGCATTGGACACAATACTCAAGATGTGGCCTCATCTGCTGCCAATGCTCCTCCTAATGTACCCTAATATGCCGTTAGCCTTCTTGGCTACAAGGGCACACTGTTGACTCATATCCAGCTTCTCATCCACTGTAAGCCCAATGTCCTTTTCTGTAGAACTGCTGCTTAGCCAGTCGGTCCCCAGCTTGTAACAATGCTTAGGATTCTTCTGTCCCAAGCGCAGGACTTTGCACTTGTCCTTGTTGAACCTCATCCAATTTCTTTTGGCCTAATCCTCCAATTTGTCTAGGTCACTGTGGACCCTATCCCTACCCTCCAATGTATCTACTTCTCTCCCTAGCTTAGAGTAATCTGTGAGATGATGCTAATGCCAGATCAGGTGGCAATTGAATTCCGCCTACTGTGTATTGCAAACTCTTTGACATGTCTTTGACACTTATCAACACTAGGAATCATTTTCGCTATCGCTTGTGACAGAGAGCAGAGAAGAAAAAAAAATACAATCGCAAATAATAGTTTCCCTCATGACAAAGATTTAGGCTGTAACATGCTCTCACCTTGATTGTATGTCTATATTTCATCTTACATAATTACCTATTGCACTATTTATGTTAGGTCATTCTTTGTACTAATTAATATAGGCAGAGAGGAAGAACAAAAAATGTTTGATTTAAGGAATGTTGTACTATATGTGACATCTGAGAATGGTAGATTGAGTTAAAATCAGTTTTTAAAAAAATAATTATGTGGTAATAGCAGCCATCTGGAGATGGAATGTTAGGGTTGTAGCCAAACTCACAGTTCAAAACTTTAACTGTTGGAAAATAGGACCTGCCAACACTCAGGTGCTGAAATGACTGGAAAATGAAGAGCCAGCTAGAAGGCCTGGCATAGCTACAGATACCAGTTTTCAGTGTTCACTGCAGGTAGTGCTGCTGGCAAAATATGGACAGATTCAATTTCATTTTTTATCCAGGAGTAAAGTTAATAAATGACATTTAAGTCCGCATGGACACTATATATGATTTAGTGTTGAGGGGCCTGAAAGCTCATAATTCATGGGTCTGAACAGAAAAGCTGCTGAATTAATCTTTACAATAGTAACACCTGTTCTTTGACTCAGCTTTTAATAAATTATATATGGATAATATTTTCCACATTCTTTGGCTTCTTTGAGATAATAGCACCCAGGTGTAAAGTTAGACTTGGACAGAGGGAAAACTCTTCTAACAATGCAAAAAGTTAGGAGACATGTTACCTCAGTCATCTTTTATTTTTAATTCTTTTATTTTACCTTGTAATGAGTGTTACACTGGAAAATGAATGAAGACTTCATTTGGGGTAATATTTACAGAAGCAACTAAGTTACTTATGAATCTAAAAGATTTTTTTCCTCAGACACAAATGGCAATTTAGTGCCTAATTTTCATCCACTTTTATTGGGAAATAAGTGCCTCATTGACATTCATGTCTTTGAAAATCTCCCTCTAACTAAGTCCTATTTTAAAAAATGACTTAGGCAGTTAGGAGCTCAAGTATTATTGAAAGTCAATGGGTCTTAGACTCCTAAGGGACTTTTGGAAATTTGAGTTAAGTGCTTAAATCATTTAGATGTTTTTTGAAAATGTTACCCCTTAGTTTGTAAAATAGAACAGGAACAACCCAAAACAATTGGAAATTAATCCTTTTTTTTAACAGTTCAAATCAGTTAGGGCAAAGTGAAAATGAGTTTTCTTTGACATTAAATGCCAGGACCAATGCTCCTAGAACTTTTTATTTATTAAAAGAAAAAATAATGGAGAAAAAGGAAAATGTTATGGCAATGGAGGAAAGAAAAATAGTCACCTACATTGTTGCTTTGTATCTAAAACAATGTTTTTCCCCCCCTTTCAGTGTAAATATCCTCTGTTCATGTGTCGTGGCCACAGTCAACAGATATATCATGTGAGTATAGTAGTTGCTGTTATAGTGTCATATAGTGACTTTGAGTCTAACTCAACTCTTCATATTAAAAATTTAACTAAACAAAAAGCTAACCTGCCCTTCTCCCTCAAAGAAAGATCCCTAATCTTTACCAGTCTTTACCCTGCTGTACATTACAGAGTGTCATTACCTCTATAGCAATTGAAGCTCTTACTGTTACTGGATTTATTCTCCCTTGATTTTCTGTGTATTCTGAACTCCTGGTGATTGCATTAGGAGTGTGTGTGCTGTGTTTGGCTATGTCTAAACTACATTCCTCTTTCAAAAGAGGTACGGGTTCTTTCAGGAGTACGGGTTCTTTCGAAAAAGGGTTTTTTTTCTGAAAGAACCCTGTCTAGACTGTGGTTTCTTTTTCGAAAAACTCTTTTTCAAAAAAGCGCGCTCACGTGGTTTTGCAAATGAAGCGTGAGATTTATAAATTCATGCTTCATTTGAATTTTCAATTAGTTTCATTTACATTCCTCTTTCAAAAGAGGAATGTAGTTTAGACATGCCCTTTGCAAAGAATCTTAAACTTGTATGAAATCAAACTTGAGATTCTCTTTGCATTTCAAATGGCACTCTAGTTCCACCAAATAATCAGCAGATATGATACCACAGTAGAGTTCCTCTGCCCTTTTCCATTATGTTC